TTTTAAAAAAAAAAAAAAAAGGACTTCAGTTCTGGCAGTGTGCTCCCAGAGTGTGAGTTCTCAGTCACTGCACTGTGCTGGGTCTTGACACTTCCAAACTAGGATGTGAGTCCTAGGACAGGGTTCCTCAAACTATGCGTTGTGACTCATTGCATTGTGAAATCAACTTAGTGGGTGCCACCCAACTTTAATTTTTTTTTTAATGGCATAGAGTAGAAAACAAAACATCAAAGTGATTATAGGCAATAATGAAAGTATTTTACGGAAGCTGTTTCAGTGTTATATTTGTGTATGTATGTCCTAGGTCACAGCATAAAATGTATTTCTTACTGGGGGTTACAGTTAAAACCCTTTGAAAGTCAGTGCCGTAGAATGAACATGGAGACCAGAGCTACAGCCCCAGAGGCTGCTGTGCTTAAGAAAGTGAGAAGCTATAGCCGCACCATCAAGAACTGTCTGCTTCTGAGTAAAAGGAGACACTAACACCCTCAAGGGTCTAGTCCCACAGGTTTACCCCATCAGAGCCTCACCCTCCCAGTGGGATACCCAAGGCCAGAAGGAAGGTCCATTCCCACCATTCTCTTTCACCAAACGCTTGCAGTTACCATGCGTTCCCTGATAAACCGACTGATCCAAACCCCCATCCTTTGCACGTGCAGTTTCCTTGCTCGGGTTTCTCTTCCATGCCTGGTTGAAGTCATTCCTAAGCATTCCTTTAAACTCAGCTCAGCTATCAAGTCCCCAGACTCCACCGATACTTTTGTACCTCTTATATGGGTTGTTTACCATGTAATTATTTGTTTACCTATCTCTCTTGTCTATTAGACTTGAATTTCTTACTAACAGTAACCAGTTTTATTAATCTTTGTGTCCCAGGCTGTGGCTGCTCCAGAATTTCTGTATAGGATGAAATTAGGGGTAGCAATCTGGTTGAAAGAAAATCCAGAGTACTTGTCTTAAAGCTTCATTTGTATAGCTCTTTACTGACACACTGTATATAAAATTCAGAAAGCACTTTGATATACCTTACATATATCAAAGAATGAAGGTAGCTGATCCAGACTGTGCCGCCACCAAGACACCCCCTGGTCCCACTAATCCCCAGTGCCTGACACTGAAAGCTGAAAACTCCAATTGTGTGCTCAGCATGGGGCTAGCTTCCAAAAATTGAAAAGCAGTTCCTGCATTGAAAGGGTTTACACACCAGCCGGGAAAAACATGAAATGAAAAGAATAAGACAGTGGTTCTTAAATTTTCAATTTCTATCAAAACCCTCCTGAGAGCTGTTAAAATGCATGTTTCTTTCACTTGGGTATTTGTAAATGAAAATAATTGACCTGACTTACTGAAATATTATCTTTTGAGGATGTTGCTTGGAACCTACGTTTTAACCTCCAAGTTTTAGGGGCCAGTCATGACTACAGTTTGAGGAGTTCTGTGCAGTTAAGAACTAAACCATAAGCAGTATCTCCACGGGCCAGAGGAATGGTAGTCTTTGGAGAAGCTAACCAGAGTCACTGGAGGTCTCTTGGTGGAGTGGGCAGCACTTGATCTGAGCCTTTAAGGATGAGCAGACTTTGAACAGAAGAGGCAGGAGCAGGTGGTGGGCTGGAGGTGGGTTGGGAGCCAAGAGCATTGGCCAATAGCTGGAGCCACGGGAGCGAATGAATCCATCGTTCAGGAAGAGTATACAAAGAAAAGGGCTCCTTGGGAGTCTCTTGATGATGTGGCAAGATGAGGAATTGGGGCCAAGGAAGGGGACAGTGAAAGAGGCATGTTTTACACCCTAGGATCCCAAACCTATGGTTTTCTATAGGGGCGGTATCGCCCCCCATACGGCATTTTGGAAGCACGCGGCAGCAATTTTGGTTACCACAAGGGGCAGGCTCAGCCAGTGTAGAGCATGGAAATGTGAAATGTAGCACAAGGCACAAAAAATGGGAGATGATAAATGGAAGTGTACTATTGTACAATACAGAAATGTACCCAGATTTATTTTTTTGTAAAATGATATAACAAAATTTACCGTCCTAACCATTTTAAGTGTATACAGTTCATAGTGCTAATTATATTCACATTGTTGTAAAACAGATTTACAGAACTTTTCATCTTGCAAAACCAAAACTCTATTCCACTAAACAGCTCCCCTTCTTCCTTCCCCCAGCTTTTGGCAACCACCATCCCACTTTCTGCTTCTGAGTTTGACTGCTCTAAGTAACTCATATTAAGTGGAATGTTACAGTACTTGTCTTTTTATGACTGACCTATTTCACTTCAATAATGTCATCAAGGTTCATCCATATGCTCACATGTGACAGAATTTCCTCCCTTTTTAAAGCTGAGTAATACTCCATTGTATGTATCTACCACGTTTTATTTATCCACACATTCACTGATGGACACTTGGGTTGCTTCCACCTCTTGGCTAGTGTGAATAATGCTGACACGAACACGGGTGTACACATACTTCTTCAAGACCAGTCCTTCAATTCTTTTGCGTATATATCCAGAAATGGAATGGCTGAATCAAAGGTTAATTCAATGTTTAATTTTGAGGAACTGCCATACTGTTTTCCATAGCAGTCGCAAAAGTGTGCGTAGGTTTTTGAAGAAAAAACACGGGCTCCTAGGAATTTGCCTGCGTATAGCGGGCTGGCTCTGCCTGTACCCAGCATACCCGTAGGACCGGCTCTCATTCTTCTCTACCCTTAGGCTCAGCTCGGTGGAGAAGTCTGGGAAACCCGGGTGCAGTGGTAAAAACATGTGCAATCTGTTTAGAATCATTGCAGCTGGGGCTTGTGGATACCAGATCTGCTATTACTTACCTCTGTGGCTCTTGATAAGTGACTAAACCTTTTGAAGTCTTAGTAAAATGAAGATTCAGTCTAGTAGAGCTAAGCAGCTGATGCGCAATAAACAGCAGCTAGTGATACTCTATCATTGTTTCCTGTAATGACACTGAAATCTGTTTCCTCT